TTTTTTTTTTTTTTCAACCTGGGCTCCTTTCTTATTCGTGGGGAGCAGCACGTGTTGGGAACCGGGCCCAACGTCCCTCATAGCAAAATAAGGCTGAGGCCGGGGGCCCTCACAGTCTACCCGGAGCGTCCTGTCCGAGATAATATCAGAAACAGGAAAGGGAGAATTTGCAAAGAAAGACTGTGGGAGGGGAAAGGTAGTGGATGAGGTAGGCGGTTGTATGTGACCCTCTCAGCATTTGTGACGCTGCCAGATTAGATTGCGTTTCAAGTCTGATGGGCCGATGATCCCATAGGAGCTTGGAGTAGACCAGTCTATTTCCTTTTTATTACTCTTGAGCGTATAGTACTCAAATACCTTTGCGTGCCATTCCTCTCTCTCTTTCTCTCTCTCTCTCAATCTCTCTCTCTTTCTCTGTGTGGTTGCAGGAGGTGATGACACAGGCAGAGGTTACGACAAAGTGCTATTTCGATATTGAGATCGGAGGCGAATCTGCAGGGAGAGTCGTGATTGGACTGTTTGGTAAAGATGTGCCCAAGACGGCTGAGAATTTCCGTGCTTTGTGCACAGGTGAGATTGCCTCTCGTGAGTTGCTTGCTTACTTGCTTGATTTTGATTTGATTTGATTGATTTGATTGATTTGATTTGATTTGATTTGATTTGATTGATTTGATTGATTTGATTTGATTGAATTGATTGATTGATTGATTGATTGATTGGTTGATTGAGGGTTCCAGCTGCAACATACCTGTCCCTGCGTACTATTGCTCTAAATCACCGCTTCTGATTGCTAATTAGTAATTACTGATGAGTAATTAATTCGTTTCACACTTTAGACTTGTCATCCTCACGCCATTGATCATGAACGTTTCCATGGTGTAAGCACTGCTGCACTATCCGTCGTACTTATCGGTGCCGTGATGGTTGCGTGTTTCGATGTACAGCTATCATCTATGACAACCATGCCATCATCCGTGCCCTAATCCATGCCCAATCCACATCATCATCCACGTCATCATTCATATCATCACCCACAGCGTCATCGACGTTGGTGTCTGCGTCCGTATCCATGTCATCATCATCCACGTCATCATTCTTATCATCATCCACATCATCATCCACACCATCGTGGACAATGTGGTTTGCGTCCTAATCCGTGCCCTAATCCACGTCATCAGTCACATCATCCATTCATATCATCGTCCACAGTCTCATTGACATTGTTGTCTGCGTCTGTATCCATGTCATCATCATTCACATCATCATCCACATCATCATCGACAATGTTGTTCGCGTCCTAATCTGTGCCCTAATCCACGTCATCATCTGTGTCATCATGAACGTTATCATCCATGTCAGCGGCCACGCTCATCATCTGTGCCAACTTGCATGTCATCATGAGCTCCGTTCCTGCACTCTTCTTATAAGCAGGAGTGTTCCTTTGTCCCCTAAACAGGAGTGAGCAGTCTGCCATGAAAGCTTGTATAGTGCTCCCGTAACCTTGGTCTTCTTCCCATTCTCGTTTTTTAACTGATTTTGCTGCTTCTCCCCATGCTTGCCACTTTTCTCGTTTCATTCTTCTTCTTCTATACCTTCCCCCCCCCCCCCCCCCCCCC